GGAAGTTTGCTGTATTATAAATTCGTTATAAAGATTCCTGACAGGTTACATTGCATTATATAAACGGTTGTTTACAGTATATTTATACATACAAGTACCCGTTTATATAGGTCATAAAACATGTTCAAAACTCTATATGTTATAAATAATGATATAAATACAATGTAGTTGTTTGCAATATAAAGCTTGTCCATCGGGTCATATTATTTAAGCTTATTTAACATGTCAAAGGTCTTTAAAACTTACAATATAACAATTCTGGTTAAAGTTATTTGTGATATTTGACTCGATTGATACTTGTCCTGTTGTTTTTATTTAACTAATGTAAATGTCATCCTTTCATAAATGAGAAAATTTAAGAACAGATTTTCTAAAAAGAAATCCAAATTTATGGGTGTCTGTTCACAATATGTTCACACAAAAAAACACATATAATATAATACTTGTGGCTTTAACGGTGCTTGCGTTTTACATAGCAGAAAGCAAGAACAGTTATTTCTCATTCCAGCAGCCGCGAAACAAATTAACATTTGGTTATTATTAATTGATGCGATAAGCACTTTTGTATATATAAAAAACGAAGAAAACGTTTTGTTATTTCTATGAATCAGGTGCTTGCTGAGTGCAAACATATTTAACTGAAATCCAACCTGAAATAAAGAGATATTCAGATGTTGAACCACTTTTGATTATTTATTTGGATATGATTTTCTAGCTGATGTGGTTTTCTCATTAACTTTGTTACACTTCTGCATCAAGAATGATATGAAAACAGAAGCAATTTTTAACGAACATATGAAATAATAAGTAAACCAAAACCTATTACCTTTAAAACTTATTTCCATTATTCAGAATTGATTATCATAATGTTAAAATATGCACAATATCAAATATATTTTAAATGTTGACATGAATTCTAACATTTAGTTCGCATTAGTGCTGGGCTATAAGTATTATTATTCTTGAAAAACGGAGTGAGTTGAAATTTTGCACACAAGTTGTTGTTGTTGTTGTTGTGGTGGTGGTGGTGGTGGTGATTAAGACATGAAGCAACACCGACACAATGTAGGGATCGTTACTCATATAGCGAATTTCCAGTTTTACAGATAGAGAAACAAAGTTGATAAACGTGGAAGTTTGCAATATTGACCATCAATATTATCGATACACATGGTATATTGTCGTGTCTTTTGCTTTGACAATCTTTGACAATCTTAAAGGACAAAATGAAATTTCTGTACATTTATTCACGGCTTTTATTTGTAATTTGAGCCGTGATCTATGAGACCCTATAGTACTTTTTTTCACAATACTACTCGTGCTTAAACAAACATACATGTTAACTATTGAATAATAAGTAAAAACTGGAACTGGCTATTGGTCAGTTGGAGATATATGCGGGCCGTCAAATTGAAATTTCATAGGGTATATTTAAGTTTTTTCTATAAATACAGGGTTTATCTTGCGGGGTATGAAAAAAGATATTTGATAGTGGCGGTAGCTACATGTGAAATATAGTAATTTCCATACCACTCAATGAAAATAAATCTTGTATTTATAGAAAGAACTTGAATTTTCTGTTTATAATATACAGTAAACTCCGCTTATAACGAACTCACTGGGACATTGAAAATATGTTCCTTATATCCGGAGTTCCTTGTAAGCATGTAGCGAATTAGTTCCTTGTATCAGGAGTTTCTATAGCGAACAGATTTACATATAACGAACTGATTGTTAAACATCGTCCGCCATTTTGAAGAGCATTTGATTAAAAATAATTTGTCATTTATTTCTTTTTTTGACACAATACCCGAGAATTGTGGAATTTAAAAATCCTTTGCTATTTTAGTTTTAATCCCTTTCTCAATTTCTCATAAAATATCATATTTCGTTTCTTAAGTCAGTTCTTCTCGTTTTCTTTCCATGAATAAAAAAACCCAAAAATTTATTTATTTTTTTCTTCCTTTTATATTGAATATCTTCTATTATATTTTAAGATTGACTTTTACGTATAAAATATATAGAATTCTTTTTATTTCAATCAAGCATACTTTGTAGTTTTCTATTGATTTTGTTTGCAAGCATGCGTGATTATGTTGAAATATGATTACAAATGATCATAATTATTTTACTCGAGCAAAACTATTAAAGAAAAGAAATAATAGAATAAAAGGAATAACAGTTTTATCTTTGTGACAAGAACTCATGCTGAAAATATCCTAAATAGAAAAGAATTACATACTTCTATACAAATTCATTTTCATAGATATATTAAATTATATACAACAATATTCCGCTAGTTTTAATCCGTGCCAATGAAAACGAATGTTGAAAATGCGGGATATATTTACGAATAGCTGATATTTGGAGTTCGTTATAAAGGTGTAATTTTCTGCACTTTTAACTTAATCGGGACTAAGAAATTAGTTCCTTATAAGCGATAATTTCTTATAACCATGTTCGCTATAACCGTATATTTTTATATTAAATAAAGAAGGGAAAAATTCGGGCCAAAATAAATTGTTCCTTATAACCGGAAGTTCGCTATAACCGTGTTTGCTATAAGTGAAGTTTACTGTAGATTTTTTTATTTTTGACATTAACATTTGAAATACTTCCCCTTGGCTGAATTTAGAAGAATGTATAGCCCGGCAAGACATCAGGAAAATACGGAAAATATATTTCACTGTTGTGAAAAAAATAATTGTTTACAGTGAAAATACGAAAAATGTAAATGCGCATTTTATTTCATCAATATTTCTCAATATTTCATTTATAAGTATATGGATTTGTAGTCAAACAGCAAACCAAAAATGTGGTACAACGAATTAAAGCAATATCATGCATCATTTTTAGTCGCTGCATTAAAGCCTTTTAACACAAAGGTGTTCAGTGCGTTGATTGGCCACTACACAAATTTACCAGAACTCCTTAAGTAACTGGGTAGAACTGTAAAAGTAGCACATCTGTCCAAATTAACAAAATCCATGCAAACTTTGTTAAACCTTCGATAAAAACTTTTTGTGTAGAAGTTTTATACAGATTCCGCTAGCATGTTACGTATGCAGCTTTAACGTATTAGAGGAATATGTATATATGGAATATATCACTTGCCCTTCACATATTTAGTTCGAGTCCCACAACCGACTTTGAAGGTCTTACTCCATCAGTAAAGCTTGAAACTTGCCATATGACCATTTCAGTTTTGTTTTTTTTTCCACTATTTCTTCCTGAATGACGGGCAATTGCTCAATTCTTTGAGTTATACACTCATCCTTAGTCCAATGACAAAGTCACAATATAATTTTGTGTCCAAGTATTCCAAATTTTTCACAGTACTGCCTTTTACTGAATATGGACCATGAATTTCAGTAAGTCCATCACCACAACATGAACATGAAACAATGCCACTCGGCTAGCTCCTAGGTGTGAGTGGGCAGGATTAATAAATAGATCAGAGTTATCTACCTTAAAGTCATCATGAAGCGGACTTACTTCTCTTCTATACCTCAAAAGTGCCTCGCGCTCATGGGCTATTCCCCATTCTGTGGCTTTGTTTGTAAACCGACTTCCCGTCCCACAAATTGCCTTTACATTTGATAAAGCCGGTTTGTCCTCAGAACCTTGACAAACAAGTTTTACATTTGATGCTGTTATACGTCCATATCTGAAGGCGTGCCACTCCCTACATTTGAACTGTTGCTTAGTAATAATTTCAACATTTTTGGCCTGTTCGCAAGTAACATTCAATGACAGTTCCAGTTGAGCACATTCACTAATATTAATAAGTTCTTTTCTTGCCATATTCATGAACTTTTCATCATTAAGTAACTTCCCCTTTCGAAGAATATAAGAGATTTAGTTTTACTGAAAAGATTGCTGGTTTAGACTTGCACAACGATAACGCATGAGAAAAACGTTGCTCATCTTCCAAAGTTGGTTCTTCTACTTTTGGGAGTTGAACTGTTCGTTGGGGTGTCTTCTCACCACTACTTAACAAATTATTAAAGTCCTTAACCTCCTTTTATAGACGTTGAAATATGAACTTTTTTCAAAACGGCTTATATTAAGTTATATATATATATGATCAGTACATGTGCTGGAATTGACAAACATGCATTTTATTTGGATTTTAAAGGCGTTTTGAACTCCAAACCCCAAGTGTCAGTGATCTACATAAGACGGCACAGGCCAGTATGCTTTCTTCTGTGTGACAGTCAAGTTGGCATTTGCTCTGTGTGTTTTTTCTACCCAGAATAGTAAGGCACCTGTGTGACTGCACATTTCACCCAATCTCGCCCGCCATGCAGTTACAGTGAGCAGATTCGACAAATCCATCTGTCTTAACAATTGCCCATTGTGTCAATGGTGTGTCATTCATCGTACCTGCAAATAATGAACACACTGATAATTTTTAGCTCAAAGATATTAATCATAAAATATCACCAGTGATTGACACCTTATTGAGTTTAAAATAATTTATAAATATTATTTTAACATTTTAATTTCTGTCATGTAAATTACATAAATGAATTACATAACAATCATGTCAAGACAATTATAATCGCAAAGATTGCATGTCCCTTTATACCATGTCCTAGCACGAAAAAAATTTTATAAAAGTTTACAAAACATTGGTATATTCCCAGCCCAGGGTTTCTATTTGGTAGGGTTAAATGTGTATTTGCTATCTTTCCATTTTGGTAATAAAAAATTAAATTTTATTGTAACATCTGTAAAGTCTTCATTATTTGATAGTTCCTTTTTAGGGAGTCATAATCTTCTCGAAGGGGTAAATGCCCATGATCCATACTTGGGTTAAGTAACAATGTGCATTCAGTACATATATCTATCTATATGTCTCTAATTTTAAGTCAATTAAATTTTGTCTGCATTTATAATGAATTAGAATAATTCATAATAACAAAACGACGAAATGATGTGATGTAAATTTAGTGTCGTAAAACCTACTTACATGTATTTATTACGTGTTAAGTAATCTTACCGACACCGGCAAACCCGGCGAACTAAAATAAAATAATTTTATTTTCTGTTTTCATTCTCGTTTAAGGAATAAAATCACATTCAAGATTGTTAAGAAATTTATATTTAGGTTTTTACAGGTAATATACTTAGCTTTTTATTATAACTAATGCGACCAAGATTATGTTTTTAAGATATGTTATATATATTTCGGATACTTCAATTTCGGATGGTGGTCAAAGAATTCGTCCCATTAGATTCGTATTAAAAAAATTAAGTTACTTCTGATTTCTAGTTCGAACGACTATCATTTTAGGCATTATAGTAAGCGTTTTAATTAATAATAGAGTGGACAATTGTAATAATGAAGGTCAGTGTTAACGTGTCATACAAATGTAATGATGTATTTTCAAATTAAACTGTTTAACTTTAAGCCAGTTCTGTCTTCCAAAACTTTATAAGCTGCTCTTTAACATTTTTGTTTTTCGTCTGATGTGGCATGAAAGTTTTGGATCAGACCCATTACGAAACCTCAACAGAAATGAATAACATATGTTGATTTAACCTTATTTTTCATTTGCAAATACCCTTGTCGCAATTAATTCTTGTGCATTTTGTGATGAAACAATTATTTTAATATCGTTCTAGACCATTTAATTATACCCCCGGTTTTTCCTTGTCCGCCCAATAACTTAAGATACCTTTGACCCACAGTCTTCATATTTGGCATGGAGGTTAGTCATGGTAAGTAGATGACCCCTATTGATTTTTAGGTCACTGGGCCAAAGGTCAAGGTCACAGGGGCCTTGACTAGAAAAAGCTTGTCCTTCCAATAACGTAAGATCCCTTTGACCCACAGTCTTGAACTCTTCATATTTGGCATGGAGGTTAGTCATGATGAGTAGATGAACCCTATTGATTTTGAGGTCACTGGGTCAAAGGTCAAGGTCACAGGGACCTTTACTGAAAAAAGCTTGTCCCCATAATAACTTAAGATTCCTTTGGCCCACAGTCTTAATATTTGACATGGAGGTTAGTCATGATCAGTAGATGAATCCTATTGATTTTAAAGTCACTGGGTTAAAGGTCAAGGTCACAGGGGCCTTTACTGAAAAAAGCTTGTCCCCCTAAGAACTTAAGATTCCTTTGACCCACAGTCTTCATATTTGGCATGGAGGTTAGTCACAATGAGTTGATGACCCTTATTGATTTTGAGGTCACTGGGTCAAAGGTCAAGGTCAGACAGGCCTTGACTCAAAAAGCTTGTCTGCCTAATAACTTAATATTCCTTTGAACCACTGTCTTCATATATGGCATAGAGGTTAGTCATGATTATTAGATGATCCCTATCGATTTTGAGGTCAAAGGTCAAGGTCACATGGGCCTTCACCAAAAAAAGCCCTTCACAAAAAAAGCTTGTCCGCCCATTAACTTAAGAATCCTCTGACCCAGTTTTCATAGTTGGTATTGAGGTTGTTTATGATTATTAGATTACCCCTATTGATTTTGAGGTCACTGGGTCAAAGGTGACAGGGACCTTGACCTAACAAAGCTTGATGGCTCATTGCTTAAGAAGGCTTTGGTCAACAGTCTTCATATTTGGTATTGAGGTTGTTTATGACTAGTAGATGACCCCTATTGATTTTTAGGTGACTGTGTCAAAGGTCAAGGTCACAGGGGTTTTTACTACAATAAACTTGTCTGCTCAAATGCTTAAGGTCCTCAGTGTATTGATTTTGACATTTTCACATTTGAAGCATGTAGAATACATAACTTAGCAATCCACTGGCTTACTAACCTCAGATTCGGCAGGGAGGTTGTCCTTGAGCTCTAAATGGCCACTGTTGATTCTGACAAAGTGGTATGCGGGGGTATTCACGCCAAGACAGTGGCAGTTCTAGTTTAAAGTATCAAAATATTAATGCCGTCATTAAAATTGCCTATTTAACTGTGAAACTGTCTATTACTATCACTACAGTTAGCCGTTTCATTTCGTTCAAAGCCTTGATAATGGCCATGTTGTCACTCCGGTATATACAGCTAAACTCTGGTATTTTCGATTACGGTTAAAACTCTCATGTAGGGTTACAATTAATATGAAATAGAATCTACACAAGAAAAATAATAATTAAATAATAATCATGACATTTAGAAGCTATGCGAGACCTCGTATGAAGTAATTCACGGGAACCGATAAGAGTAGAGACATGTACTGTATTTAGAAAATCTTTGTCGACATGATTTCAATACTTAAAATTTGTTGCAAAATGCAAGGGTGCATATTTATAAACTTTAGACTTATTCACTTTACCTGTTGATAAATGTAAATATGTTCCTATGATATCAAGGGTTCTATGATATCAAGGTATTTAAATTTTCTGTGACTGCTAGTAAAAGCAACACATGATGATGCTAATATTTGTAAAACTTGCATACTAGATTCATTTTCATCTGCCAATAAATTTAATTTGGTGAATAATGAATGTATTTGGGGCAAGAAAACTATTTTATAAAACCTTAATATTTGACTACCATTTTCCTTAGTGATTTTTACACAGTCAATTAAAATATGTTATAAACACATATACTTACATATAGTCTGTTCATATAGTTTTAATTTTATAGCAAGTTAACTGATGGAAGTTTTTCACAACTTAACTTGAAAGTTTTGACCCATCAATCCTTCCATAATTGCTTTTTTTGGGGATTACCTTGATACCGTAGTAACCTCCTCTGAAATGACCCAAAATGGCAGGCATTGAAAATATTCTAAATAATGTCATTTTTATTGGTTCTTTTGAAAAAAAATTTTTAGAAACAGTTCTGGAAAAGGTTCATTTATAAGATGGAAGAAAAATCTCATTCATTTATGATATTTATATTTAAATATTTTCCGAAAAACATTAAGTACCTTGATATCATAGAACCCCGGGCTAAATATGTTTAGTATTCTTAGAAGAAAAAAACCGGAAACATCATTTTACTCAGTATTGCCCAAATTATCCAATTTAGGGAGTATTGCCCAGGCCAGGAAAATCCTGGTTAACTGGGTTTTACAAGGGCGGTCAATCAATACTTTGCCAACCCTGCTTTGGATGGGCGCAGTTCATTAATAAATGAAAACTAATAATTGCTTTTTACATTTTTTTTACATATTTTGCATTGTAGTACTTGTATATGTAAAAAGTGCAGTTTCATAGAGCATTCATTTCCTTTAGAGATACTTACATTGTATTACCTTTATGAAATTTGATCTGCAGTAATCCCAACCAAAGTAATTATTATTCTATGCCTAAATTATCAATATTGTTTGCTGCATTGTCGTGTATAGATTGTTTAATTGTTTTCTCTGCCTATTTTTAATTTCAGGATAGAAGAATACTTAAGTATTCAACATGAAGCCCACAGTTACTATGGTGATATCTGGACTTTTCCTGTCTTACATAGCATACTCTATGTACACTATAGCCCTGATATTCTTTCCAACACATTGTGTAGAGAAAGGAAAACACCAAAAATGTATCCAACCGTATATAGCAAAGCATAAAAAATTACAGGTATATAATTATATCTATGAATGTAAATAAAATTGATGGTAAAGTGTTATAAATTGTTAAATATGTAGCTAGTCACAATTCAGACATTAACAGGGCTTTTTTCACAGGTTGGGGAAGCAGCCCTGCCCTTCATTTTGGGGAAAAATTGCACAGTACATGTATATTTGCAAAAGGGAAAGAAGAAACTTAATGTAAATTCAATTTTTGGAAAATAATTTTTTTGAAGAATTTTTCTTTGGGGAAGCAGCCCTATACTGGCCACTACTCTAGAAGGAAAAAAGCCCTGATTAAATGGAATTATTGTATTGAAAAATGTGTACATTTTGTTTGAAATTAAATAATGCTTTCCAATGTTTTCAGTAAAACATTTTTGTATTATCTACTTAATCTAAAGTGTACAATTAATAGGTAGGTTTCTTCCACAAAGCATAATAGTTTACATGTGTTTATTCAAATTTGATGCTCATGATGAGCCAGTTAGAACATTTATCGTCTTACATTTTATTTTATCAATATTTCTAACAGTTAAATGACTTCTGGTAAAAAAACTTGAGATTTAAAAAAAGCAAATCTTCAAACTTTAAAAAATAATAATAATATTGCTGGTGATGTTTTGATAAAACTGAGGAAGTGACAGGTCTGTCTATTTATATAATTATGACATATATATTTTACTTTCTTTTACAAGTTTATTTAATAAGGCATTCATAAGTACATGTATATTTATTTTAAGATGTCAATTTACACATCACTGAAGTCGTCAAGGATTTCTTCAAATGATCTCACATTGATTTGGCATTACAGTAATTTTACAATACATGATGTTGTTGAAAAGTAAGTATTACTAATATATTCTGGTCTTATTTCTACCCAATATTTAAATTTTGTTTTTTTTACCTTAATATATTTATTTGTTTACTATAGTAGATCTTCCCTGAAATAACAATATATTTGATTAACTATGGCCATTAAAACATAATATTTCATCATATTGTTTAGAGCTCTATTTCAGTTTGAAACTGTTTGATTTTTCGTATACATGTTATATTCAAGAGCAATATACTTTTAGCAGATTGAACAAATTTATATGTACATGTAATTTATCTAAAACTGCTATGTTACAGTCATATGATTTTTATGTCCAATAAAATTTCTGCTGACATAAACAGTAATTTTTTCTAAATTTTTTCCGCAACAACCCATACCCCTGAAATTGTGAATTTTTAGCGTGATAATCTGTCAAATTGTGAAAACAAGAATAAATCATCACCTGTAGTCACTTTATTCATACATTTTAATAGTTATATTCAAAGTTTCAACTTTCTTCTTTTTATTCCCTTAAATATATACATGTAAATCAAATTCTCAAGATTGTCATTTGTCAGTTCATTATTTTGTTGGTACTGAAAAGCAATCCTGGCAATTGTGAATTTTTTTATGTTTTTGGCATTGTGAAGAGGCCTTATTTCGGGGTCAAAATCAACCAAAAAAATCACTGATAAATATTATTCTTATATCATGCCTAGTCTCTTGTTATCTATACTGGGTTTTCAAACTCTATCACAAGTAGCGAAACTGATAGCGAACAGCATGGATCCTGATCAGACTGCGCGGATGCGCAGGCTGGTCTGGATCCATGCTGGTCGCAAACAAACTATGTTGGTTTTGTCATGGCGCGGCTCATTTATGTTATTCATGGCCTCTGTGGATAAGTGATTATGGTCCTTGACTTGACATCACTTGCTCCTAACTGCTGTGGATTAGATTCCAGTTCAGGCTAGATTAAGGAAAGTTGGTGTTCTACTCAGGTGCCCACTCATGTCTGAAATAATGAAAGAAGGAGCACCTGGAGTCTGCCTCCACCAGTAAAGCTGAAAAGTTACTGAATGTCCTCTACATTGCTTGTGTAACTTAAAATCCAACAAACATTTATGTTATACACGTTCATCTTTCATGTTATCATTGCTTATATCTCATGTTATTTATTCAGAGAATTCAATGTGAGTATTCCATCTAAAACAAGAAGAAATGGAACTCTTTATTTGCATGTGTTTGTGTATCCACGGAAACAGGACCCATTTACAAGCCAGTACACATCAAATGACCAGTCTGCCATAACCACATACATGGTACCACAGTCAGGTGTCTTCAACTTACTTGGTGATACTGCCAAAGAGGTATGCTGAACATATATCATTTAACAAAAATCTTTCTTGTAATATACTTCTCACATACCCGTGCTGCTTTTGTGACTCCTTAAAAATGGTATTGCACGGCCGTGCATATATTTTGATGTGACATAATTGGTGTGATATATATATGGTGTAAAGACATGCCAAATGCTAGCGTTACACTATAGGCAGGTCAATGAAAAACGATTCTTTTTCACTTTAAACTTTCTATATTTTGGGTAAATTTTTGATATTGGTATTTTGATAAACAGAATATTATATTCAGGTAGGTTCATTACCGAATTAATTGAACGCGTTGAATAAAATAATACGAGTATTATGCTACCCAAAGGCTTGCATATTATAATTGTATCCAACTTGTTCAGTAAATTCAGTATTGAACTTACACTCATTCAATATTCTCTATTTATGATTCTTGTCATAATACAAACAAATGTCCTACTTATTAATATCAATTACAGTCAGCCCAAAAAAGGTATTGCATGCTTGATACTTATTAGCTGCATGTTTTGCTTTAATTAAAGGATAGTAAACCAAAAACTGCTGGTAGAAAAGCAGTGACTCATTGGAGGTCAAAGGTCACTGTAACTGTAATGGAGGATGAGATTGCATTTGATAGACAAGGAATTCCTGGGGAGATCATGAAATATTTAAGGTTTGTTTGTTTTTCTGGATTTTTTTTTCTGCTGATATTAGCACATTTTAGGTCATATCTTGATGGTTTATCCACCTAAATGGCTTTTCTATTTATTTAGTAAGTAATTACCAATGACCAACTACTTATTCCGCCTGATTCTGAATCTGTCGTGACAACTGATCATTAGACTCAGTGTACAAGATTAATTAATTTTTGGAAATTTATAAAGTTATACTGATTTAGTATTTTGCATGGACATCAAAATACTAGTTTACATTTCGCTACTTTTATGACTGATTATTTCACATTCAACACTACCATTACTTGAGGCAATAAGCATCCAAAGTGCTCTAAAGCCATTATAATATAAAAAATACATAAACTCATGTTTTTCAATTATAAAAAAAAGAGAAAATTATTTGTTTATGTGACATAATGTGGCTTTAACATTCTACTGTATTAGAACTTACTTTTCTCTGCTAGATATTCTGCGAATTTAGTTAAATAATTTTTTTTAAATTGCTTCATACATGTATATTATTTTTGCAGTGACATCAGCCTAACATTGGCATGTTTCATTATTGCTTTTCTATGTTCATTGTTTAAGGAAATGATTTACACATCAATGAGTTTACTGACTTTTTATCTGACAGTTTGTTGACTTCTTGTTTCAAAGTAAACTGAAGACCAACATATGAACTGTTAACATAGCATTAATTGCTTTTTACTTATACAGTTTGTTGTACATTATTAATTAATGACCCTTACACCGAGAAATTAATTCTAAAATACTTATAGGGAGTTGACTTAAATGTGTGTATATAAGAATGTGGACTTTGAATTATTTTACAGGATTTCACCAGAAGGAGAATATCTTCCACTAGTTTATATTGATCAGCTAGGCTTTCGAACCAAAGATCTAGTGGTAAGTTTATATTTGTAAATGTAAATGGCATCAGACCAAATATTTTATTTGTATTATTTATATCTTATAAACATTTCCTATAGTTTCTTTATTTTTTGTACAGATAGAGAAAGAAAATTTAAACTAGAAAACAGAATTTTCTTAAACTATGCTTGGTTAAAGAGAATAATGATTGAAACAAATATCAGGCCCTATCCAACATTTCGAGTTATCTTCCCCTAAAAATGAAAAACCATCTCTACTTTTTAGCTCACCTGAGCATGCTCAGGGTGAGCTTTTAGGATCGATGATTGTCCGTCGTCCGTCGTCCGTCGTCCGTCCGTCCGTCGTCCGTTCACATTTAGTTGTTAACACTCTAGCGGTCACATTTTTGCCTCAATCATCATCAAACTTGGTCAGGATGCTTATCTAGTTGATAGCTCGGATGAGTTCGAACATGGGTCATCTCGGATTAGAAACTAGGTCACAAGAGCTAAAAATAGAAAAACCTTGTTAACACTCTAGAGGTCACATTTTTGCCTCAATCATCATCAAACTTGGTCAGGATGTTTGTCTAGGTGATAGCTCGGATGAGTTCGAACATGGGTCATCTCGGATGAAAAAGTAGGTCACCGGAGCTAAAAATAGAAAAACCTTGTTAACACTCTAGCGGTCACATTTTTGCATCAATCATCATCAAACTTGGTCAAGATGCTTGTCTAGGTGATAGCTCGGATGAGTTCGAACATGGTCATCTCGGATGAAAAAGTAGGTCACCGGAGCTAAAAATAGAAAAACCTTGTTAACACTCTAGCGGTCACATTTTTGCATCAATCATCATCAAAACTTGGTCAGGATGCTTATCTAGTTGATAGCTCGGATGAGTGTGAACATGGGTCATCTCGGATGAAAAAGTAGGTCACCGGAGCTAAAAATAGAAAAACCTTGTTAACACTCTAGTGGTCACATTTTTGCATCAATCATCATCAAACTTGATCAAGATGCTTGTCTAGGTGATAGCTCGGATGAGTTCGAACATGGGTCATCTCGGATGAAAAAACTAGGTCACAGGAGCTAAAAATAGAAAAACCTTGTTAACACTCTAGTGGTCACAATTTTGACTCAATTGTCATCAAACTTGGTCAGGAAACTTGTCTAGGTCATTGCTGGGAAGAAATTGAACATGGGTCATCTCGGATGAAAAAGTAGGTCACCGGAGCTAAAAATAGAAAAATCTTGTTAACACTCTAGTGGCTACTGTTGTGATCCAAATATTCTGTTAATTGGTCTGAAAGTTTGTTTTGATGATTTCTAAGTCAAGTTCGAACATTGGTCATCTTGGATGAAAAAAACTAGGTCACACCGCCCAAATATGGAAAAACCTTGTTAACATTCTAGTGGTCACATTTTCGACTCAATTATCATCAAACTTGGTCAGGATGCTTGTATAGGTAATTGCTTGGATGAGTTCGAAATCGCATGTGGAACTAGGTCACCGAAGCTAAAAATAGAAAAATCTTGTTAACACTCTAGTTGCTACTGTTTTGATCCAAGTATCCTTGAAATTGGTCTAAAAGTTTGTTTTGATGATTTCTAGGTCAAGTTTGAATATGTGTCACCTGGGTAAAAAACTAGGTCGCACTGCTCAAATATGGATAATCCTTGTTAACACTGTAGTGGTCACATTTTTGACTCACCTGTCATGAGACTTGGTCAGAATGCTTGTCTAGGTAATTGTTTGGATGAGTTTGATAAATCAGGTGAGCGATCTAGGGCCATCATGGCCCTCTTGTTTGAGTTATGGTCCTTTGTTAATTTTCATACTTTATTTTTGTCCAGGCCATTTCTCCTAATGTATAAAAGCCATGGACTTGAAACTTCATAGGATGATAGGTCTCATTAAGAAGAAGTGCAGTGAACAAGAACAGGTACTCTGCATTTCTTATTTTTTGAGTTATTGCCCTTTGTTTATTTTCATACTTTAATTTTGTCCGGGCCATTTCTCCTTAAGTATAACAGCTATGGACTTGAAACTTCCTAGGATGATAGATCTCATTAAGAAGAAGTGCAGTGCACAAGAACCGGTACTCTGCATTTCTTATTTTTTGAGTTATGGTCCTTTGTTAATTTTCATACTTAATTTTTGTCCAGGCCATTTCTCTTCAACTAAAAAAGCTATGGACTTGAAACTTCATAGGATGATAGATCTCATTAAGAAGAAGTGCAGTGCATAAGAACCAGTACTCTGCACTTCCTAATTTTTGAGTTATTGCCCTTTGTTAATTTTCATACTTTATTTTTGTCCAGGCCATTTCTCCTAATGTATAAAAGCCATGGACTTGAAACTTCATAGGATGATAGGTCTCATTAAGAAGAAGTGCAGTGAACAAGAACAGGTACTCTGCATTTCTTATTTTTTGAGTTATTGCCCTTTGTTTATTTTCATACTTTAATTTTGTCCGGGCCATTTCTCCTTAAGTATAACAGCTATGGACTTGAAACTTCCTAGGATGATAGATCTCATTAAAAAGAAGTGCAGTGCACAAGAATCGGTACTCTGCATTTCTTATTTTTTGAGTTATGGTCCTTTGTTAATTTTCATACTTAATTTTTGTCCAGGCCATTTCTCCGAAAGTATAAAAGTTATGGACTTGAAACTTCATAGGATGATAGATCTCATTAAGAAAAAGTGCAGTGCATAAGAATTGATACTCTGCATTTCTTATTTTTTGAGTTATTGCCCTTTGTTGATTTTCTTACTTTATTTTTGTCCTGGTCATTTCTCCTCAAGTATGAAAGCTATGGACTTGAAACATCATAGAATGATAGATCTTATTGATAAGAAGTGCAGTGCACAGAAACTGCTGCTCTGCACTTATTATTTTTTTCGTTATTGCCCTTTGTTATTTTTCATACTTCATTTTTGTCCGGGCCATTTCTCCTAAACTACATTGTTCACAAGGCGACACATCCGACTCGCGGAGTTCTAGTTTCCACAAAAATTAGTTGATTAAGATAAAAGTTTAATTTACCGTACGGATATTTTGTATCCTTCCGGTTTGCGGGAAAAATCATATAGCTACACCGCACCTACTGATGAACGAATTATGTCATATTATTTCATTCTGAGATACGATTCGAATCATTAAATAACGCATACCAGCTGTCAGTCTATAAAAAAATTGCCTCAGAAAACATCTGTATCAACCTGACCTCGAGTTGAGATTATAAATTATACTAAACCGGAAGTACATGAAGAAACGTCCGCCAATCAAGAAAATTGAAAAATTTTTTAACATAAACTCATATTTCATAACAAAGAAGTGAAGATGAATACAATTATCGGTGTGCTTCGTTGAAACAGGTATTTCGTTAACTATTTGTTAAGTAGTAAGGCATGACATTCTGTATTTATGTAAATATCACCTCCCGACGTCCCGTGTTATGATTTATAAAATTATACATGTACACATGTGTTATTGACCTCAATAAATGTAAGTGAAAATGGAAAAATAATTCTGGCAATTATCCATGGTGCTAGTAATACTTAATTATCTTTATCATTTTGTTAACTTAGCAAGAAAAATACGTAATTTTAAAATAACTAAACCTCACAATATTATCAATTTATACTTAAAAATCTTCTCAAACAGTAATTTTTTAATTCATTATTGAGACATGAAGATGGTTCATGTAGAGATTAAAAGAGAAGAAAAAACTGAAATGACTCATGAAAATTTTGGTCAAACAGTCTGCCACGTGAAATTCTTACCTTCCTGAGATCCCTGCTGTTTGTTGTTGTTCTTTTTTTTAGAAAGGGTTTTCTAAATTATGATAAACCACAGATGCTTGGGCCAACATGATACCCATGAGTAAACACTTTCAAAAAATATTTTGATATTAAAACACTAATGGGATATCTGTTATAACTATAATACTGGTTTTCGAAAAAAAAAAATCATATATGAAAAAAAAATACTGTTTACCTGTATTGAGGCTTGATTCCGGGCAGGCAGGCGAATTGGTTGGGCTATTTTTCGTAACAGTTTTCTCAACAACTACTTACCAGAGCCTCATGATATTTAGTATGCAGCATTAACACATTGTCCCATACCATGGGATTCGATTTTAGGTCTGTCTCTCATCCACTTCATGTTTACTGACTAAGTTAAATTCATAATAATGGTCAATGGTACGAATTTTTCGTAACAATTTTTTCATTAGTTTAATTCATAATAATGGTCAATGGTACGAATTTTTTGTAACAATTTTCTCAGCAACTACTTATTACAGCCTCTTGATGTTTGGTATACAACATTGATATGATTTCAGGTATGTTGCTCATTCACTTTCAGTTTTCTGACCTAGTGAAATTTTCGGCATTAATTGTAAATGGAAGGAAATTTCCGTAACAGTTTTCTTAGCAACTACATCTCACAGCCTCTTGAAATTTGGTATTGTGACTGCAAAGTTCAGGTCTATCGCTTATCCTCTTCCTGTTTACTGATTTAGTTAAAAGTTCGATATGAATGGTCAATGGTAGGAAATTTTTGTAACATCACAGCCTCATGAGTCATGTTATTTGGTATACAAATGCAACCCGGCCATTTTTGTCTTTGACCAATTTTTATTGAAGTATTATCCAAATTTGTACTTCGTCTTGTTAATTATGATGTCATTGTTAAAATTTTCATTATGTAAACACGCCACAGGGAGTGTATTTTTTAGCAACCTGTACTTTAAAGAAAAGAAAAAAGAGGTATTTCTATACACTTGTTTGCATTCCTGTTGCTGTCGGCCAAAAATACATTACATTTGACACTAACCTTTAAATGACATTAAAGAAATTTATAAACCTGTTGTTTTTTTTTTAAAAAAGAAAAATACTTTATAAGATCTATTCCTTAAGGTGAGCGATATAGAGCCATCATGGCCCTCTTGTTTACTATGACATTTTCAGTTTTAAAGGTATCTACCTCAAACTTCAAATACTTATTCCTTATCATCAATTACATTTTATG